AGTCGTTCCCCTTCCTTATTCCCGTACACACGGTCATTATATGATTACATCCTGTAACGGCTCCGACTCCAACTCCATTACGAGATGAGGTACCCTTGGCGAACTTGTACCGAAGACCTTGTAAGTACATAAAAGTCTAAACTATTGTCGTGAATATAGAATATATGTTAAAACACTGCTATTCTTTCTGTTGTAAACTAAACGTATTGGTATTTTATTATTTTTATATATGAACTATATATAATATAACTTTTGAATTAAGTGAAATTGAATTTACTTTATGGTTGGAATTGAATACGTTAATTAACTACAGAAAGATTATGTTATATTTATTTTAAGAATATTGTATTGAGATATTAGATAATAAAAATATATGGTATCTACCATACGCATTACATATGTATGCGTAAAGAAATATTTATAATATGTATTATTATTATTAAATTAATTGCCAGAAATTATTAAATTAATATTATTATTAAAATTATTATATATATTAAAAATTAAATATTATTAATAATATATTATAATTATAAATATAAATAATATAAATAAAATAAATATAAAATAATATAATAATAAATATAAAAAAATAAAAAAATAAAAAATAAATAAAATATAATTAAATTAATATAAATATTTTCTAATATATATATAATATAAATAATATCGTCACATTTAACGACAATACTTGGCATAAAAAATATTTTAATAATTATTTTATAAAATAATATAGGAACAAAATATAATATATTCCTATGGTCGATCTATCGACGATGGTCGGCGATCAATTTTCCTACCGCTGATCCCACGCCTTTCCGTTTTTATACAGCTGATACCTTTTATTATCAACGAACGCACAAGATCGTTATAATACACGAAAGGGGCCAGTGTAGGTATTGTTATTGCTTCACGTGAAATAGTAGGGATGGAGAAGATCGGATAAATGTTCAGGAACCCGTAAATGGAACAACGTGGTATATAGAAGCTTGATTAAAATATTAATTGAGGTGGAAATAATGATACGATGCAGACCAATGGTTCGGGCTCGAGTCATTGAAAATCATAATACGCGTTATAACACTAGAAATATGATCTTGGGTGGAATTCAATTTGCTAATAGCTGACCACATTTTACACAACAATCCAAAATTATGCAATGATATCAAGAAAGGAAAAGAAAATGACAAAATATCAACGAAATATCGAAATTTTGATAAAAGAAATTAAATAAATAACATATGACGGTATTTACAATGGATTGTATTAATCATTTTTGTTATAATATTATTTACCTTCTTATTAGGAATATTAGGAATACTAATTTTAATAATAATTTAATAGAAGCTTCCTATAAAAGAGTTACGGTAAAATTATTATTATATATTATTAAATTATTATTATATACAAAATTATTATATAAATATAATATATTATAAAATTATATATTATAATATTATATATTTTTATAATATAAATATATTATATAAATATATTATATTCTAAAAATATATTATCTAAAAAATTAATATTATATAAAATTATTATTATTGTTTTATAATTTTGATCATCCCAAGTTAGATATTACTCTTTTTTTTCATTTTATTAATTAATTAGAAATCTTATGTTTCCTTAATTGGTCTTGAATATTGTTTATCTGTAAATATTGAGCTTTCATAGTATATTGAACACTGCTTTGGACCAATGGTGGTTGAGAGTCATAGATACACCTTGTCATGCGTCCAGAACGATTCGCGCACCGTGGCTAGCTGATTAATTAGAATCTCTCTCGACCTCATCGAGAAGGGGACTCGATGGAGTTAGCGGTAGATAGCAAAACGGGATGTGGGAATGGGAATGACTACACGGGTTGGCCACTGGGGTGGCGCCGAAAAGCACAGTGGTTTGCACAGCGTGCCCCCGAATGGATGAGTACCGGCATGTTGCTGGTCACAGTTTCATGTTACACTGGAATTCGATAAACCGATCTCATTTACTAACTCAGACGATCCAAATTAAAAATATACCCTTTATTCTTTTTAACTTCATTTGCTTCTTTCATGTTTTTTTTAACCATTTATTCAACCACTATAATAAATTTTACACTTTTTCTTTTTATTCAAATCTATAATTGATCGAACGACTATTTCTTTTGATATTTACGTGTCAAAATTGTAATCCATAAATGTTACTTTGATATCTAATATAAAAAGGATATTAAATTTTGGTTTCAAATAAACATAGATACTTGATGAATTTATTAATTATAAAATAGAATTATTTAATCGACTTCTTAAATCTCATTTTGTTCAAAGACTTTATTTTACATAGAATATATATATATATTTTTTTTTTCTTATAATAACTATTTACTTTTTTATATTAAATTTTATTGAGATAATAAATACTCTTATAATAACTATATACTTTAATATTTAATAATATGTATAGTGTGTATTAATGTAAATTATTATATAATTATAATACTATATATGTATAGTATTAATATGTAAAGTATTATATATATAATACTTTGTTATAATTTATAACTAAGAAATTTCTTCGTAAGAAATACAGGTAATGGGAATGCGTTTCTTGATCGATAATTATTGAAAGATAGGGTTACAAAGGTAAGGATAGAAAATCGGTAGGAGTGGCTAGAAAGAACCTATATTGGTTGGTCTTTTTAAGGAGAATCGTTTTCCATGAACTTGCAAGCTTCTCTTTTCTATTCCTATATATATATATATATATATATATGTATCTCTCGCACTTATATACTCTCCTCCTTCTCTTCTCTTTCTCTCTTTCTCTCTCTTTCTTTTTCTCTCTCTCTTCTTCTCTTCCTCTTCCTCTTTTCCTCTCTCTTTCTCTCTCTCTTTCTCTCTCTCACAGAGACCGAACTTTACTCTGACCGCGAATAGGTATTGAGGGCATCAAGCGCAGATAGAGAGAAAGAGGGGAAAGGGGAAGACCGGCCAACTAATTAACGTTATTTCACTGGTAATTAAACGCATCCAATCTCACCGGCATCGAAGCAAAGGACGCGTTGAAAGTTCATCTTTTGGCTTAAAGACGCTCTCAAGTCAGAAACCGCATTTTCTATACCATATAGGCATTCCATGAAATAGCAGTTACCAAATTGCAAGAAATCACCATTAGTGATGTTTTTAGATATTTGATCCTTCTTGAAGAAATTTCCATTTAAGACACACAATTAGGTATATATAGTGTTATAAATTTATACAGGATAAACTTATTTTAATTAGTTATTTATTATTATATTAAAATTCTTTGAACAGAAAATTAATTATTTTTTTATTAAAAAAAAAATGAAAAAATTAAGTAATTAATAAAATAAATCGAATTCATTTTATATTCAATATTATATAATATTTAAGAGAGTGCGAGCAATTGAAGAATATTATTAATATTTTTATTATATAATATATTATATATTAATATATTATATATTCTTATATATTCTTATATATAATTAATTTATAATAATAATTATAATCGTAAAAAGTAAACAAATTGAAATAAATTATAATTGCAAAAGATAATCGATAAATATGTATAATATATTCTTGTTGATAATGGAATAATGTGGTTTTTTTTATTTCATTGATCTACGTGCACTGAAATATATAATTCAAGAAATACAAAGAAGGCGATACAAAGAAAAAGAGATGTCGAGATACGTAGAAAGGTAAATTGAGGTACAGAGTGTAAGAGGGGACAGTTAAAGAGGAGGTGGTCAAAGAAGCGAAGAGGAGGAGCTAAAAGTATGAGAGGGGTGAATACGAAGCACATGTACTTTATACAACTGGATGTCTGGTAGGAGAAATGGAGCTAGTAATGTGACTAAATAAATCTACTAACGGGGTTGGTTTTACTGCAATGGAAGGGGTAATTAAAACCACCCTTTCGCGGCAATGCGGTGAGGTAGTCGAGCTGTCAGGACTGCAATTCTCTGGAAATCCAGATGTATACAATATAACCAAGTCTGCTTTAAATTCACAAAATAATTTCTATCGCAATGAGCTCAACAAAATTAGCTCCCTTTAGAAACTTTATCAATTCAACGGAATTGTTAACAAATCTTCTGTATATGTATCATTATTAATCATATCAATATTGAAAGTTATTTTAATTTTAAGAGTACAATCTGGAAATCTTGTAAGTTTCATATAAATAAACAGAAATAACAGTTATACGTTATTACGAATAAAAATTGCAATAGAAGGTTAATTATTATGTCCTCTAATTTTTATCGAATAATATTATTTTCCAAACAATAATACTTCTTTTTCATGCTATAATGTTATAGTAATTTAAACAAATCTAGTATATTATAATATGATGTAAACGTTAATAGAATTTCGACTATACATGCATTACATAATTTGTTTACAGCTATAAATAGTTGAGTCAATCTATTTAAATATTTTTTATTTATATTTTAATTAAATAATCAATATTTAAATTAAAATATTTGTGTATATATATATATACATATATATGTATATACTGTATCAATAAAAAATCCTAACACAACTTTAACATAATTTTGTCGTAGTGAATTATTTTTAATTAGTTTATTATTTTTCTTCTTCTTTTACTATGTCTTTAAAATATTGAATTTTTTTCTACCACCCAGTATATATATATATGTATTTAAAAAGTTTTATAATAAATTACAAAAAATATTCTAAAACATAATTATTTCTATATTTAATATTTTGTTGTTATACTAAATAAAAAATTTAATAGTATCTTAATTTTATCAATAGAAAGAAAGACAAAATTTTGTAATGAGAATTCATATAAATATAATAGAAAATTTATTATTTTTTTATATTTGTTTAAATATTATTTTATACAAGGTATTAATTTTTTGTTTAGTTCTTTTCTAGTAATGTTTTGTAAGCTCTCACACTAGGGAAATATACGCAGATGGCGCTGCAAGCTTTGCCACTATAGGGTCCCTATGCCACTGTACTACACTGCTCAACTTTGAAAGAATGTCTGTCACAAGTATTTAGTCACATTAGAATATACAGATGTATTTAGTGGCTGTTTTAAGACTGTTATAAAAATACAACAAATTTATAATTAATAATAATTAAAAATAATATTGTTGCTGCCATAAAAGAATTACACAATTCTTATCATTTTTCTTATATTGCGAAAACCATCTTTAATCATTTTGACGTATTGTCAACATCTGTCATAGCAAGAAATATTGTTTAAATATTATTTAATTGACATTACATGTATATATATTTTATTGTTCATAAAGAACGAAGTTAATTATTGTTCATTAACTGAAAGATTTTAATTAAGAAGTCTTTGTCTTATAATTATTTAATGGGGAATGAAAAAAGTACTCTTAATGGGATTGAGATAGATGAAAAGGTTATTGAGATCACAGATTTTTGGACACAATATAGTGCAACTGTTCAAAACTATAATTCTCAGAAAGTATCAGTTTTTATTAGTGAACCTTCTTTACATTATACTGCAAGTTTTGGAAAACCAACTCCATTAGAAAGAATAGCAAAGGTTAGTTTTGGAATTTATTTATTTTCTTATTTTATGAAATAATAACATTGATCAATTTACTGTTTACATATCTTGTAACCTTTTAATCCAAATTATGACAATATAATTAATTGATGACAATATTCACTAATAAAAGTTGTTGTCTTTTATCATTTTGTTTTCATAGTTCTGACAAGTGTATATATATATATATATATATATAAATGATAACAAAAGATACTAGATAAATGAATATACAAATAATAATGTCCTTATCATCTATTTTCTTTTTAGAATTTGATGTTACACCGCCATCCATGTATCTTAAGGTATATTTCTTCATGGCATAAAGGTAGTAAATATTTTTTATGTACAGAAGAGGCAAGACCTTTGGTACAAGTAATCGATGCACAAAATGCTCTTCAAATTTGTGTTGGTTTATACAGCATTGCTTGTGCATTAGTATTTCTTCACGAAAAAGCATTAGCATCGCACAACAATGTATGCAGTGGTTCCATTTATATTACACCTGAAGGATGTTGGAAATTAGGTGGATTTGAATATCTTTGTAAATTTTCTGAAGCAACATCAACTTACTATCAGAAAATAAGAAATTATAGATATCAAAGAGCAACTTGTTCCAATGAGGATATAAATGCATTAATCGATTCAGGAAATCTTTCTTCTATTGATGTTTATGCATTTGGAATATTAGCCGAAGATATTTTAAAATTAAAACATGCAGGTAAAAATTAAGATTACATCACATTTTTTTAAATAGATTTTAGATTGTGAATATTTATTGTAGACAATATACCAGCTTTAACTGAATTTCAAGAATTTTGTAAAGAAAATCTACAAAACGTAGATGCATCTTTAAGATGTAAATTGACCAAAGTTCTTCAACATCCTTTTTTCACACATGATTTTATAAAAATACATGGCTTTCTTGAAGAATTACCTTTAAAAACTAATGAAGAAAAAGAAGCATTTTTCACGTAAGTTTCTTTATAAACAATGATTGTATTAAAGAAATAACAACATTAATTTATTTACTTCTTTTATAGAAATTTAGTAAATGATTTAAAAGCTTTTCCTGAAGATGTTGTAGCTGAACAACTTGGTCGTTCTTTGTTATCAAGAATAGTTTTGTTAGATCAAACGGCACAAGTGAAATTTTTACCCTATGTATTAAAACCAAGAGGTAAAGAATCCTTGAAATTTTACTTTAAAATTTTTGATGAGATGCTTAACATTTCATTGTAATGTTACAGATGAAAATGATGATATAGAAAACAGTGTGTTTTCTACTCCAGTTTTTAAGACTTATTTAGTACCCAGACTTTTACAAATGTTTTGTATAAGAGATGTTTCTATTCGTTTATTACTTCTACTACATTTCAAATCATATGTACATACATTTCAAACTGATGAATTGAAATCACAAATCTTACCTGAATTATTAGTTGGAATAAAAGATACCAATGATCATCTTGTTTGTGCTACGTTAAAGGCATTAGCTGAAGTAGTATCTATCTTAGGAGCAGCAACAGTAATTGGTGGAAAAAGAGCTAAGTTATTTACAGATGGACGACCAAATAAAATGAAAGAACGAAAAGAAAATAAGATTACATCTACTACTAAAAATAATAACACTGACACAATTGCTCCAATAGATATGAATGAAATAGAATTACATTTACCAGAACGTCTATCTCCAGATGGTGGAGAAGATAAAAAAGAATCATCATTTGCATTTGCCGATGAAGAAAGTACTTGGTCTGACTGGGATACTCATGATGCAAATGTAGATTCTAACCAATCAAATGTACAAAATATACAACAGATAACACAAATAGAAACTCCAAATGTTGAAAATGTATCGGTCTCACCATCAAGTATAACTAAAAATGAAGTAAATAAATACACACAAAAAATAGAAATGTCAGATATTTCTCAATTGGATATAAAGCATTCAAAATCAATGAAAAGTACTGTAGATGATTTTGATTTTTTCACGGATATGGAACCTATAATAAAAAAGACACATGTCTTGCATGTACAAGAGAAAAGCATATTTGATGTAAAACTATCTAATACAACGTTACAAGAGTCTGAAGAAAATGGATGGAGTGAACATTTAGGTGACTGGGATATAGAAGATACTAAAGAATTAAATTTTTAATTAAATCTTTTTAAGTTATACAAAAATATTTGTTATTAATATAAATATATATATAAAATAATACCTACATAGCATCTAACTAAAAGCTTTTTAATTATTAACTCTACAAATATTAATATGGAATTTATTTTTTTAAATGCGAATAATATATTAGACAGATGTATGTATGTATTTATTGTCAAAATCAAATATTAACTTATCTCTATCAATTTGTTTAAATAAATAGTATATAGAAAAAAATATTACTTCTTTGCCTTTAGAATTTTTTTTTTATAAAAATTTATAAAATTTAAATGAAAGTACATTATTTAAACACCTCTTTTGAAATGACAATTAGTTCACTACTCTGTCACAAATCGAAAAAAGTAAACATTTTAAAAGAATATAAAATCCCTGAATTGTTTTTATATTTATACATGTATTGAATTTTGCCTATTTTTTTTTTTTTTTATTTATAAATAATTATAAAAATGAAAATAAAATAATTATATAAATAATTCCTTGTTTCGAAATTATCATTGGGTTGACGCTTATGTACATACACATATGTATATATATATATATATATATATTATAACGTATGGCGCATGTCATAAGTTTTGTAGGTTAAGAGTACATTAAAATACTTACAAATAACTGTGTATATTTGTAGTGTAAATAATCATTGAACGGTGTCTGTTTAATTATCAAGAAATGATACACAGTCTTTTTATTATTAATTCTGCTGGGTACGTAAATAATTTAACTAGTGCAATTAGATTCCATATGACACGAATGAATTGATAAAAACAAATTTCATTTCTCATTCTTTTTACTTTTTTACTTATGTATGATAATAATATTATAGAAATTTTTTTTTTTTTTAATAGAGATGTGTTTATGGAAAAACATTGGAAAAGTGCCGTTGCACGATCATTATGTGATTACTTTTTTGATCAACAACGAAGAGTTCTTTCTCTAGAAGATACACCACCTGTCATAGCTACACCACATCATTATCTAATTAGCATATACAGATGTAATATGTTTTTTGTAGCAGTATGCATGACAGAAGGTTAGTGTTAATTTTAATCTTGCCAATCTATCAACAAAACTACAAATATTTACTATATATAAATTATTTTTCAGTTCCACCATTATTTGTTATTGAATTTTTACATAGAGTAGTTGATACTTTTGAAGATTATTTCAGTGAGTGCACTGAATCTATTATTAAAGAAAATTATGTAGTGGTTTATGAATTATTGGATGAGATGTTAGACAATGGTTTCCCATTGGCAACAGAATCTAATATTTTGAAAGAATTGATTAAACCTCCGAATATTTTGCGTACCATTGCAAATACGGTTACAGGTAAATCAAAGTAAGTACAAATATTAATAATACAATATTGTCGTCTCAAAATATTCAACTTTATATAAATTATATTATTATATTTTTCAGTGTCAGTGCAACATTACCAAGCAGTCAGCTATCTAATGTTCCATGGAGAAGAACTGGAGTTAAATATACAAATAATGAAGCTTACTTTGATGTTGTAGAAGAAGTAGATGCTATAATTGATAAAACTGGATCAACAGTTTTTGCAGAAATACAAGGCTATGTGTGTATGATAACTTGTTTCTATGTTTTAAATTCAATATGATTTTCTGCAATTTATATTTCAGATTGATTGTTGCATAAAATTAAGTGGCATGCCAGATTTAACACTTTCCTTTATAAATCCAAGATTATTTGATGATGTCAGTTTTCATCCTTGTGTTAGATTCAAACGATGGGAGGTATGAACACATATGATATTTGTTATCAAATTGTTAATGAAATATAATTGTTATATTGATAACATACATATATTTGTTTCATTTTAGTCTGAGAGAATATTGTCCTTTATTCCTCCAGATGGCAACTTTCGACTTCTTTCCTATCACATAGGATCACAAAATATTGTAGCAATTCCAATATATGTACGACATAATATTAGCCTTAAGGAACCTGGCGGAGGTAGATTAGATATAACAGTTGGACCGAAACAAACTATTGGCAGAACTGTAAGTTTTTCTTTACAAAACAAGAACATTCAAGAAGTTACAATAAATCCGTTCTTTTTTAGGTGGAAAATGTAGTGTTAGAAATTCCAATGCCAAAAATAGTATTAAATTGTACTTTAACACCAAATCAAGGAAAATATTCTTTTGATCCTGTTAGCAAGATATTACTTTGGGATATTGGAAGGATTGATGTTTCTAAATTACCAAATTTAAGAGGATCCGTGAGTTAAATAATAATAGATTATTTATATGTTATTCAATTATATTTGGAATGAATTTTTCGTTACCAAAGCTTTGATGATTGAAAGTTGACATACATACAACCGTAAAGAGTTAATATAAACACATATACAGCAGCGTGTATCTCCTAACATGATGACTACAAATAACTATTTGTTACAGATTACCATTCAAAATTCTGCAGTCATAACAGAATCAAATCCAGCTATTAATGTATGTATTTTTTACTATATTATTTTGTTGATTCTTATTTAATAAATTTACATATTTTCATAGGTACGTTTTACTATAAATCAGCTAGCAGTTTCAGGATTAAAGGTAAATCGATTAGACATGTATGGAGAGAAATATAAACCTTTCAAAGGAGTTAAATATATTACTAAAGCTGGAAAATTTCAAATAAGAATGTAATTAAAAAATATGTAAATGTATAAGTTTAAAAGATACTTTTTTAAAAGATTGTAATAAATTATATGCTTCAACTTTGTAATTTGTAATATAAATATAAGAGAAGTTATTATATTAAATATCTTACTTTAAATAACAGAAAATATCACAAATACGATTGAAATACATTTCAACAAGTAAAATACATATATTCTATTCAAATATTTACATATACGTAAATATTGTTTCTTATTTTAAGTTTTACATTTTTTACTTAATAAATTTCTAGCTTCTAAATCTTCCCATGTTGGATGCGTTGCATAGGTGTGTAAGCGTTCCATATTTGTATCATAAATTGTATGATTACTGATGAGATTTTTATGAATCTATATAATACAACAAAACATTAAAAATAATATGCATAATATAAAAAAAATTATGACATTAAATTCATTACATTAACATATTAATTTTGAAATATATATTCAATACCTTTAATGTACGCTGTAAATCAGCTATACTAACTGGTTTCAAAGATGCAGATGTAGTTTGTACAGAACATGCAAATGAAAAAGCAGTCGCTTGTTCAGCTTCTTCAAAATTTTGCCTTGTAGCTGGAACTTGTCCATAAGGATCTACTACTTCTGTGGGACTATACAAAACAAATGTTATATATAAACACAATGTATATTTTATATGAAATATTTTATAATTATACCTGTAATCAGATGATCGAATTATATATGCTGTATTTCGTTTCCATGAACAAGGTACAGGATTTCCTATGCTATGAATAAATGATCCTTCTTTTACACTGAATTCTTTTCTATTTGCTAGAATTGCAGTAAGTATATTTTTCACAAAAATCTGGGTTGCAGCAATAACAATATGGGCAGTATTTTCTTCTGCACCATCCATGTTATTTTCCCATGCAGCAAGCATGAGTCTAGCTAATACAAATGTCCGATCAGGTAATATAAGTTCTTGAGCACTAGATCTATTTGCTCCTATAGGTTCATCCCCAACTGGTGATGATGTTTGATTTAGTACCTCTGCATAAATATCTGCTGGCTAATTAAAAAAAGAATTTAGGAATATAGTAGCACGCTCATATTTATATTGTATATTCAATTATATTTTTATGTAGTATAAAGCAACTAACCTCAAAGTTTGACTTGTCAGTTTTATATTTACGTTTTAACCTAAGTCTTTTTTCCTTAACTATCTTATCTTTATCCGTTTTACGATTTGGTATAGCTACTGCCAATCCTCTAACTTTGTTGAATAAACAAAGTAAAAATTCATTATGCAAATGAACTTGGTCTTCTGTCATGATATTACGAGCCTCACAGTCAAACTCTTCTTTTGTTGTCTAAAATCAAAATTGTTATCAAAATTATAAAGTACTAGTAATAATTGTAATTAAAAATAGAACGTACCTTCATTTGAAACCAAAGTTTCATTTTTTCAAAATATCTGTCAATCAAAAAAAATTATAAATAATATACAATAAACAAATTTGTTAGCACATTTAAGTAAAAAGTTAATTATATAAAACTTACACTTTTGCATTATCACCCAATGAAGCTGCAAGATTTTTTCTAGCTAAACTTAAGTCTTTCTCTTTAGAAGTGGTCATTTTTAATGTTTAATCAATCTCTTTATTTCAATGAGATTTAATCAATCTCTTAATTTTATTGATATTTATTGTTATTGCAAGTTAAATAAGTAATAAAAATCCAATACAAAGAAGCCTTACATATTCTAATATTAAGAAGTCAATATTCTCTTGTTATGAAAACATGATGTATCTGTAATTAAACTATAATAACCAAGTTAAAATGTAACATTTAGATCTACTAGCGCCTCCTTCCTCTGTAGCTGCTCTATCAATGCCCGAGTACTAATCTCCTACCACCAGGGGCGTTCCGATCGAGACGACCAAGACGCCACTCACGCCACTAGTGAGATTTATGGAGGTTACAGGTTTTTTGCAGAAGGATAGTTTATTCGTAAACAGGATCGCTGCTTTTTTCTCCAAAACTTGGAAACATAAAAGTGATAATCAAAATAATTGACTGAAATTCTTGCTAATTTTAGTATAAGTTATTGGAATAAATAAATAAAATTAGTTCATTAACGTGTTCATTGGACTAAATTAATAAGTATACCCCGTTTTCCAATTACAGAGCATAATGCGACTCAGTGTCGCACAATGCCGCATTGTGCTAATGCTTAATTAAAACATGAATTAACATGACTTTGCCGAGTATTACTCTAATTCACAAATGGTTAAACGAACAGAAAAAATCCTAGCGTTAAAATAAGTATGTATGGTTTATTAAAACGTTTGTACTCTTTTGYTAAAATGTAATATATAAGCTAATATTGTATGTACAGAAACTTAAAATAAATGATCAAGTTGTAAAATAWATAAAAAATAGTATTATTTAATATAAAAAATCTTTAATATGACCCTCTTATTTAAGAAAAAGGTGGAAATGTTGTATCGAAACTGTGGTTTTCAAGGAGAAAGTAATAGGATTATTTAAATTTGCCATTTTACGTGTTTCCGTATAGGAAAAACAGTGAAAATTTCCACGCAGGGCCAGAAGGAAAAAATCCGAGTTCATGACCATATGCAACATATTCAATTTTATTTTCTTTAATTCWTGAATACGTTAGTCTATAAAAAAATATAATTTTAAAAATAATACTACAAGTAAGTTTGAAACTTTGTACAAATGTATTCTACTCTATTGCGTCGCGACGAGAATCGGACGTCACAACAGAAGCGTTTCAAAACGACCGCGCGTTTCTTCGGGTGGGTTCGTGACCAGTTCATCGAGGTGCCGTTAGCGTCACGGTGTTGTGGGGAACAAGGTTAACGGAAAAGGTTGATCTGGAGATTTACGCGATAGTCGTCAATTAAAGTAACAAAAATATATAAATTTATTAACAAGATACAACTAAACTCTTGGACGCCATAT